GTGCAGCAATTTAAAGATTTAAATGAAATCTGCTTTATCGTCCCTGCAAACAAAAGGTCAGCAGTGACAATAACTACTAATGCTTCTGTTTAAAATCATTTGAATGACTCCAGACTTTCAAACATTTTCTGGTGCTATTGGGCAGGTTTGGGGAAATCATCCATTGCACACTAGACAATAATGTGGATCATATTTCAGAATAATGCTACATCTTTTTTTTTTTTACTTACCCTGATAAATAACAATAAATGCTTTATATAGGCACGCTTTATCTTTGTCAGGGTTTACATAAACATGAGGGAACTGTAGATGTTTTCCTGGGACAGGTGAACCTGTGTGATGAGTATAGTTATTGATATGTATGACAACAGTGAGCTACTTTATCATTTAAATCCCTTCAACATGCCTAGATGACTTCATCTTTATAATTGTCACCATGTTTTTTATTAAGATGTTTGCTAAGTAATGTATAATGTGCTATGTGGGAATTGCAGGGCTTATTTTTTATTTTATATATTTTTTTACTTGTTCCTGTTTTCTATTCTTTTCTGTCTGTGCATTTCTATTTGTGTCTGAAATGTTTCTGCCATGTTAATTCTGAAAAACCCAGAAACAAATTTCTACACAAAATTGTCCACTAGTCATTCATGCATGTTTGCAGGATAAGATAGCAAGGCATTTGCCTCCTCTGTCAATATCTATATCTCAATAGTGCAAACATAAACAGCGCTTAATGATACTGTAGTGTGCGATGTTTCAGTACAGGCATTAGAATTGGACTAACACATTTTAAGGTGTCTTTTTAATAAATCAGAATATCCCACTTGAGAGTAAAATATGATCAGAGAGTTTAACTACAGATTTAAAGTTCTTTCTTTTTTTTAATGTTGAATGAACTGAAAACTGTTGACAGTCAATAACTGTATGACTTCAGTTTAAGGGTATTGTAAATAAAATGAAGACATCATATAACAAAACATCTTTTACTTTGTTCTGTGGCTGCTGTGGAAATATATAATATTTTTTAGTAGTCTTAGTAGTGTGCTTCATGTATCAAACTAATTCATTTGCAAGTAGGCACTGGATCCTAGCAGGTGTTGCTAAGGATTGTGTTTGAAATCATTCAAGCAATAAGTGCATGACAGAGATGGCACTTGTCCTTTTCTTAGTGTGCATTTGGTAACAAGGAGTTATGTCTATTTAAAGAACAAGGCTTCAATTAACAAATAAGAGTAGTTTGTCTTAACTCTGGCTTTAAACTCATTGAATCAATGCCATTCATTGTTTAACTGTGGGCCAACAACACTTGTTATTGACCTTTTCTATTCAATTCACTTCAGTTCAAATCAAATGTATCAATTCTGACTGTGTGTGCAATCTGTACTTGGGTCATTGTTGGTCTTCTGTGTAAAACAATAACGTTAGTTTAGAGCACATGAAACCATGAGAGAAGACTCCCTCCCATCATCAGCATTTGTCTAGTGGTTATCTCAGTCAGCCCTCCCCCCATTAGTTACCCATTACTGAAGATCAAGCTACCTGTGCTTTATGTCCATTGAAAGGTGATGTCTTTTTTTCTGCTACATGCCAAAATTAAAGTTAAATAAATGTGTAACCAGTTTGCACCTGTTCACTCAGGAGTGCAATGATGATAGCTGCATGTTATTTTTTAATGTATTTGTAATAATATACTTCTTCAAATGAATATAATAAAATATGTTTTCAACTACTGAGTTTACAGAGCATGTTCTGCTTTAGTGACACTTTTGCTTCTGTCTTAAAATTCATGCATAAGTCACAT